AGCTGGAGCCGCGCTGCAGGCACCTGGAGGCCCAGCTGGAGCAGCTGCAGGAGGTGAGGTGGGGACTGTGGGATGGGAGCAGCCTCCTGTCTGCTTGGGGACACCCCGGGTAAGCGCCCTCCCTGCAGGGGAAATAGCCAGAGGCTGGTGGGAATCAGGTGCCAAAGGAGTTGCCTTGTTTTCACTACCGCAAAGCAGAGGCAATAAATCTGGCACCTTTTCTTGGCCTGCTTGTCACAGCGTGGGGAGGATGTGCGGCTCCAAGCACTCTGGGGCTTCTGTCTTGACCTTTAGCTACTGCAGCAGCATGTAGACCAGAGTTTGGTTGGGGGAGAAGCAACTCCAGACAGACTGTAGCCTAGAAGGGAATTGAGTTCAAGTCAAGGAAGGGGAGACTCCAAAACAAGGAACAAGGAGAAGGGCATAGTGGGACAGGAGGCAGTGGGCAAAGCCCTCCGTGGAAGAGCACCATAAGCTGCTGGGTGCAGGCGTGGTGTCCCGGGGAATCAGATTTGCCTCCATCAAAATGATCCCACATCCAATTATCCTGCTGCTTAGCCAGGCCACAGGCTGTTAGAGGAGTGGCCGTGTTTCACCCCAGATGTGTCTGCATTTGGAAATGGGGGGTTAGGTTGTGCACGTTTATTAGGAGACAGAAGGCTGCCAGAAGGGAGAGGAGACACGAGAGGCTGGTTTCCCGAGAGGAAGGGCCCAGTTTTTCCTAGTATAATCAGTCACCAGTAATCAGCAGAACTACCACTCCTCGTCCTTTGTCTTGGTGGTGCCATGTCCACCGGCCCCTCCAGCAAAGCCAGTGGGTGCGGAGGCCTTCCTGGCACTCCTCGTAGAGGCAGGGGAAAAGACCCCGAAAGTGTCAGCACCTGGAAAACCCCAACCCCACTCCTTTCCAATCACTGCTTTCCTTTAGGCTTTGACTAGCTTGGCCGTGCCAAAGTGAGGGACACATCCCCACGGAGGGCAATTGCCGCTGGGTGATGTTTTCGAGGCCCCGTTACCGTAGCTCGGCCGGGTTCGGGCCGGTTCGGGTGGGCCCGGTGTTCGCCCCAGCACCCGCCGCGGTGCTGAGCTGAGCGCTGGGCT